GGATGGATGGATGGATGGATGGATGGATGGATGGATGGATGGATGGATGGATGGAAGGATGGATGGATGGATGGATGGATGGATGGATGGAAGGATGGATGGATGGATGGATTGAATTGTTGATTAGTACTCAATAGTAACACAAACATAATACTTAACGATCTGGTTAACGAGAAGGTGGGATAGTAATGATTAATCTTTTTTCAATGACCCCTTCCAATTCATTTTTCCACCACTTCCTCACCTAACCCTTTTAGCAAAAGAAAAAGAAAGATGGTAGCTTATGGACAAACATTTTCGTTTAGAGGACACAGAAGACTTTTACTGTGGTAAACCTGCCAAGGGTATCCGCATCCGCATCGTAGACAGTGAAGGAAATGATCTCAAGACTGGCGAGACTGGCACCGTGTGGGTGAAAGGAGGTGAGTAAGTTTAGGTGATCTTCTTCTCGATCAGATCATACTATCTGAAGTCCGGTATCTATCGTATTATTACTGGGCTGTTATGCTTAATTCATCTGTCGGCCGTACAGCTTTTCTTGTGGTGTCAATGGGGTTGGCCACGTTTCCTGTCTCAGGGTCCTATGTGTAGTTTAGGTGACTATTTTTGGATATCATTATTGGACGAGGACAAGAGTATCAGGGACGGCCACAATGTGAGAGGGTGCCTGATAATAGTCCGGAAGTATTTTTTTTCTACTGTGTTTTTCATAAAGAACTAACTATCCCTTGGCATGATGTATGAATATATTTTTACCGGAGAAAATTGAATGTACTTTCTGCTCTGTGCAGTAAAATTAAAACCCTGTTTGACATGCAAACCACATTTTTGAACAAGAACAATCTCTGGAAATTAGTGGACGCAGACGTAGGAAGCTTGTATATCTGAAATGCACGCAAAATGTAACATACCATACAGGTACTTGCTGAAACGTCTGCCTTTTTTTCTTTCTAGCGGTAAAGTTGTTCTGAACACAAAACATGAATTAATTTAGGAAAGCAATTTATAATCCCTGCTGGTCACTCAACCTTTTACTTCAACAGGGCCCTACAACATTGTGCAAGGTTATTTCAATAAACTGGAGGATCCTGACCCCAAAACTCTGAAGGTAAAACAAAATTGCATGAAGATTAGTAGTAGTAGTAGTAGTAGTGGTAGTAGTATCAGAGAAGCGGTAGCAGTAGAAGCAGTAGTAGTAGTAGTAGCAACAGCAGCAGCAGCAGCAGCAGCAGCAGCAGCAGTAACAGCAGCAGCAGCAGCAGTC